GAAAACCAGTCCATACTAATCCACTTATCCCATAAAATACAAACTTCAGCAGGTAACCTTAATAACTTTGGCAGGGACTATGCTTCACTGTTATTGTCTATTCAGCCACATTACTCAAAGGAGTTTGATAATTTATTACAGCACTTTCTTCTTCTGGGTATACACTAATAAATGAAAAAAAAATTTAAAAGCCCATTTCCATATTCCCCAGTTTAATTCCCTGAAACAGTTTGTGAATTCAACAAGGGACTTCTCTGTAAGCCCTTTCATAAGTAAGTACATAGTGCTGCTAGCTATGCTCCAGTCTTCGTGGACTGCTCCTGAACAAAGTGTGCTCATAAATTTTCTGTAAAAGCTTCTGTGATATTGATTTCTTCTTTCTTTAGCACCATGGGATATATTGGCTAGAACTGATGGTTATCAAATTTAGGAGACCGTTATGGTTTATTAACATTGCTCATCTGTTTATCTCAGTATCTTACCTCCTTGACTCATTTTATTTTATTGTGTTCAAGCATAAAATCATGTCACAACTAGTCGTACATACAAAAAAGCCATGCAGAGCATCTTAAAACATCCACACAGAAGAACTGAACAAGCAAAACCTCTTTCTGAAAAAAAACCCAACAGGCTGCAGAGCATTGACCGCTCAAAGGACTCACCGCAGTGAGGTGATACGTGGCAGGTGAGAAACAAAAATACTTTGTTTTCAGTTGCCCCCCTGTTCAGAAAGTGCTGGAAAGATCTGCTTCACCTCTCTGGCAATCCTGCGCACAGGCAGCGTGCCGAGTATCGGCATCCACTCGGCTCTAGGAGACCTTTCCCTCATTCTGCAATTTCTTTAGCTGTTTACAGACAGTTCAGCCTGACCTTGCTGGAGTAATAAATCACACATCTATGACTCCTTCCTCCAAAATGTTTTATTGCTCTAATGAAGCACGAGCACTCAGAGGAGGTAGTTATCATTATGTTCATTTGACAGCCAAGGAAATGGAAGCAAAGATGTAAAGTGATTTCCTGAATATATTGAAGACAGCCAGAGGCTGATCCAGACAGAAAAATCCTATTACCTGATTTCTAATTTCCAGCACCGCCACAATGCCAGACTGAGCAGAGTATCTGTTTCTCACAGTCCCACTTCTTTTCTCTATCTAGCACTGCATAAAGACTCCAAAAATATTGTCCCATCACACTAACAGTGTAGCCAATATTCTGTGATCTCTGCACTCAATATATTTCCTCTCTAGTTCTCACCTCAGTGTGGAAGGAAAAAAAAAAAAAGAAAAACGCCAATTAACAAAATGTGCTATGCTTTCCTTTCTCATTCTTCGAAGCAGGTGAATGTATTTCCTGTTTCCCTGGCGATGGATTTGCTTGGTATTTCAAGATTGAGGCGGGGGACTTGCGTCCCTCCAAAGACAGGGTTACACTGTGTGCTAATGACTGACGTGGGGGATGTCGAGCTTGCTTTGGGCAAGCACTGACAGCAACCACAGACACTGGCTGCAGCCCAGCTTCCCTTTTATCCATCCATCACACACATCTCGGGCTGTGATCCCCGTGATAAGCCCAGACTCTTCCCGCTGCTGCAAAGCAGGGCCATCTCCAAGCACACGTGGTGCCTGGGAGCCTGGCTCAGAGGTGATGGGACCAGCCTGAGCTAACTCAGACCCAGCTCAGCCCTTGCACGCAGCCACGAGTACTGGCTCACGTGGCTCTCACAAACCACTGCTACATGTGCCCCTCTTGAGGAGATCTGAGTTACGCTTGTGCGTACTTAATTTTCTCCACATTATGATTTAAAATAATGTTAAAAGCAAGTTAATTTCAAAAATGACACTTGGTTCTCCAAAGTGTGTCATATGAAGACTGTAAGCTTTGAACAGCACCTCAAACAGCAGATCAGCGACGACAAATTTCAGATCACACGCATGGTCTTAGTTCATGCTCAAAGTTGTGTCGCTTTGTTCTAGT